ACAGTGTTAATTAACAGCATTAATTAACTCCCAATTTCCTGTTTTGCCTCCTTTTCTCCTTTTTTATTCTTTTATTTTTTATTTCTATCTGGAATTAATCAACTCAGGGTGGGATTAATTAATTCAGGGCTGCTTAATTAACCTCATGAGGGTCTTAATTAACTTTCTGTAATGCTGATTAATTAATGAGGCATTAATTAATATAATTAATTATCCTTTTAATGCTTTATTTTCTTTTTTTTCTCTGTTAGACTGGGATTAGTTTATCCTCTAATTAATTATAAATTAATTATGAATTAATTTTCATTTTATTATAAATTAATTATAAATTAATTATAAATTTATTATAATTTATTTATAAAATAATTGTAAATTAATTATAAATTAATTATAAATTAATATAGATTAATTATTTGCTCCTAAGGCCATATTACTATAATTATTAGGCTAAACCTATTAATTAATACCACCATTTATATTTTAATTAATATCATAATTGATATTATAATTAGTGTTTAAATTAATATTGTAATGCCATAATTAACATTATTTTTATTCTGGTTATGATTTTTTTTTGTAATTATTATTGTAATTATTCCCATTAATTTCTAATTTATTTTCCATTTTTTAATAAATTAAATTAGGCATCGATTAATTTTCTAATTAATTAATTTCCTCTTAATTATCCCAATTAACGAACTTTCCCCTCCAAAACTCCCCAAAAACGGCCCCAAAATCTTCATTTTTTTCTCCATTAACGCCCTTTAACCCCAATTAATCAGCGCAGGGGTGTCATTAAGGCTCTGTGGGGATGATTAATGATTGGAGGTGTTAATTAATGTTATTAATTAGGTTAATTAGCGATGGCCGAGGACATGAAGAGCAAACTGGGCCGGTACAAAACGGCACCGTTCGACAGCCGCTTCCCCAACCAGAACCAGACCCGCAACTGCTGGCAGAACTACCTGGGTAAAACACCCCAAAAACACCCCAAAATACCCCAAAATACCCCAAAAAACCCCGAAATTGAAAAAAGGGCAAAAAAAAACCCCAAATTAAAAAAAAAAATCCACAAAAAAATGCCAAATTTGGACAATTTTTAACCAAAAATGACAGGAGTAGACCTGGTGTCCCAATACCAATCCCTGAAAATACCCCCAAAATGCCCCAAAAACACTTGGGAACCCCAAAAAATCATCTGGGCACCCCAAAAAACCCCAAAATTGAAAAAAAAACCACCAAAAAATCCCCAAATAAAAAAAAAAAAAACCCAAACAAAATTTCTGATAAAATCCCAAAATTTTGAGTGGTTTTCAACCTGGTGTCCCAATATCTGGGTATTCCAAAAAATGGATAAAATCCTGAAAAAAACCCGCCAAAAATACACCAAAAATCACCTGGGCACCCCAAAAAAAATCCCAAAATTAAAAAAAAAATCCACAAAAAATCCCAACATTTAAAAAAAAACCCCACAAAATCCCACAATTTGAGCGATTTTCTCCCAAAATTGAGAGGGGTAGACCTGGTGTCCCAATATCTGTGTAAAAACCCCAAAATGCCCTGATTGGCTCCAAAAAACCCAAAATTTCACCTGGGTACCACAAAAACTCACCCAGGCACCCAAAAAAACAAAATTAAAAAAAAAATCAAGAAAACCCCCCAAAATTTAAAAAAAAAAACCTCAAAATTTTGAGTGGTTTTCACCCAAAATTGACAGGGGTAGACCTGGTGTCCCAATATCTGGGTACTCAAAAAAAAATGGGTAAAATCTGGAAAAACACCCCAAAACCACCCCGAAAATCACCTGGGAACCCCAAAAATCATCGGGGCACCCTAAAAAACCCAAAAGTTAAAAAAAGAACACAAAAAAATTCCAAATTTTAAAAAAAGAACCCTAAAATTTGAGTGGTTTTCAGCCAAAATTGACTGGGGTAGACCTGGTGTCCCAATA